ACCATGCCCACTCTGACCCTCCCCTCTCCCTCAAAAGTTGGGCATGGCTCCTTTTCACCAAAGAATTGCAAAAAAACCTCGGCAGAAAATTAGCAGGAAAATATTTCATGTTACAGATATGAAATTATAGGAGAAGCTTCGCCTAATACATTTTGGCTTGTCAGACCACTCTTGAAAGCACTGGAGTTCTGTCAGAAAAACCCAACACAGTCATATGACTGAACAAATAACACTATCAGCATTTGTTATGTGTGTACTTCTCATATCAGAGCACCGATAATTCCTTAAGGAAAGAGGGTAAGTTACACAGAAGACCCAAAGAAGAGATCAATAATGACAGCATAGTCTTTCACTGCAGGATTAGTCTGTCCAGCGTCTCAATCAGATGGCTTTTGGTCCCTGCCTTGAGGGGAATCTGGTGCAGGCAAGAGTAGGAAAAATAAGACACAATGTAAACCACAGCTATATATTGAATAGATCATACTCTCCCTTTTCCAGATGTCATTTACTAGATTCAGCTATAGGGGGATTCAAGAAACAGGCCACACAGGCTACCATTTCACATTTATAGCAGATTTTTAGACTAGGCAGTTGTCAGATGCCAGCCTAAAGGACATCTTACAAGGACTCAAGACTTGAAATATCTGTCAGTTCCAAGACTGCAGAACTGCTTCAGGGACTGGCTGCGGGGAAGCCCAGAATACATGGCCATTCTGCCATATATCCGAGATGCTTTTCCCTCTCTTTCCTCAGTGACTCCTTTCACACACATATACTGTAAGATTGCCAGCAACTTTAGCTTTAGCATTTCCAGAGAGCCAAAGGCAAACTGTTTTTCTGCTTTCCTCTGGTTTTTTTGTTTGTTTTGTTTTTCTTCTTTTCAAAGCTTTTAAGTATTGCTCTGGAGTCTATTCTCATAGCCCTTAGCTATATCTCTAAACTTCAGATGATGTGCATCCTGTACCTACTGACCCTATTTCTGACATCAACAACTAGGTCTCTACAGGACCATGGATCTAGTTGCATGTAAGAGTAAAAACGACGTACATTAGAAATAGCTCATTTTAAAGACACTTGCTGCACTTAATTAGGCCTTCAGGTATTTGGTGAGGGGGAAAAAATAACGATTTATTTATTTGTTGTTCAGGGACCGGTCATCTTTTGACAACTGGAAGTCATATATTTTAAATTATTATCTTTAGCAGTTGAGGATTATAGGAAAGAGGTAATCATGTGAAACGGGCAAGGCTGACTTTGGAGACATTGATTCTACTATAGTATCAGCTGAGGTCTTCCACAGGAAATCAGTCCTATTCAGAAAACATTCATGTATAGCACTAAATGTATGAGCGATAGTGCTCATTATGCTCATTACATTGGATTGTACGCAATAGGGAACTTTCATGTGTACATACATACTGGATGTGGTACCTTCACTAAGGAACCATCAAGCAGGTTCTTTAGGAACTTTACTAATCTAACTTGGGACATGCTGGTTTCCTCTCCTAGCATGGTTGGGAGCTGCAAAAAAGAGGGCTGGGCACCCATATGCACTGCAAAATATTGGTTATTCATATCTGTATTATGGTATAATAATACTAAGGTTCCTTTTCATTATGACTTAACGCTTGGTTTGCTTACCCACAACCAACTCTGGTTTTTCTGAAATACTATCTTTGAACATCCTGACCTGGTATAGAACAAACAAGCATTCCTCATCCGGGGATTTTCTTTAAAAAATGGAATCAATTATTTGAATGGAAAATTTTCCAGTTGATAAGTTTATTTGCCATGCCAGGGTATAATTTGCTTGTTCAGGCCAGTCTTCACAGGGGAATCTATGGCAGGTCTCGTCTTTATTTTTAAATAAACTTTATTAATTTTACAATTAAAACAGACAAATAACACATACATAAATGTGAAAGAGAAAAAAGAAATAAAAAAGGAAAAGTGGAAAAGAAAATTCAGAAAACAATTAAAAACCATTTCGTCCTCGACAGTTTGTGGGACCTTATTTTCAACCTTATTTTGTACCCTCTATACAATTAATCCTTGTGCGTGTATGTGTGTGTGTGTGTGTGTGTGTGTGTGTGTATACAAAAAGAGCCAAAAAACAGACAGAAGATATCAGAGACACCCATCAAGCAGAACACAGCAAACTCCGAGACCAATAAACACAGACCAAGACTCCCAACCAATCAGGATGAAGAAAAAACCATTCTGGCACAGCAATAGGCTGCCCCAAATTTAAATCTGAAACCACTGTAAAAGTCTGACCCACAGACGGACACAATACAGAAGCCTGATGATGGCAGATGAGATTCTGCTGAAACGTTGCTACAACTTTAAAAGAACTACAATGACGTGGGAAAATACCCGAACCAAGCCGAACACCATACATGTAAGTACCCGCGAAAACTTAAGAAAACATAT